GAACTTCTGAGGAAGGGTCACCGGACCCGAAATGTTAACTCTGTTTTTTCCTTCACAGATGCTGCCAGACCTGCTGAGCTTTTCCAGCAACTTTGTTTTTGTTCCAAATTGGACTCTTCCTATGGTTCCACTTGGTTGTGTTGGGAAGTGTGTGACTCTACATTCAGATCCAACCATGGTTTATGAGCAAGAGTTCATGAAAACAAATTAACATTGAGTCAGATCCATGGGCAAACGTATATTACAGATGCCTGAAGCATCTGCAGGAGCGTTGCATAAGATGTCTTTTTGTCCAGGGGCATTACTGAATGTTTTTAGACCAACCTTGTTTTGTTATGTGGTCAAAACTGCAATAGGAGCAACTCAGCAGCTCTAACAGCATCTGTAGAGCGAGAAACAGAGTTAACGTTTCAAGTCCAGTGACCCTTTCTCAGGACTCTGATAGGATTGAGGTTGGGGAGCTTAACAACAACAACTGTATTTATGTTGTGCCTTTACTATGGCAAACCGTCTACAACACTTTATAGCATGACAACATCCTACAACACCTCTCATTGATCTGACAAATCTTGACCCTCAGCCGCAGAGGATTTAATGGAAGAGAGGACTATAAACATGGCCAAAGGGTTCGCTTTAACGAGTGCTCTGAAGGAGTAAAGAGAGGTTTGGGGGGCAACATAGGATGGAATTCCAGAACTTTGGACCTTGACACCAACGGTGGATCAGATAAAATCAAGAAAACGCATGAGGCTAGAATTGGAGGAGCACAAATGGCTTGGAGGGTTGTGTGATTGGAAGTATTAGGAAATCTGGTCGGCATGGACGAGTGGGACCAAAAGGTCTGTTTCCGTGCTGTATATCTCTATGACTCTATACTTGCAGAGATAGAGCTGGGAGTGAAGTGAAAGCAAGAATCTGAATTTTAAAATGGAGGTGTTGCTTAAAGAGCCCCCCATAGGCCAGGGTGCACGGGGAGGGGGTTGCTGAGCGATGGACCCAGTACGGGTCATAACATGGGCAGCAGAGCTTTGGATAATCTCATTGGGGTGAGAATGTGGACAGTTTTGCAGAGGGCTTCACATCACACAAGCCTAGAGGTAACAGAGATGTGGATTAGGGCTTTAGCTGTGGCAACGGTGGTCTAAGTGATCTCTACCTGTGCCGTAAACTTTGGGAATCTATAGGCTTTCCTGGGACCTGTCAGTCCCTGGGATTAGAGTTGGGAATATGAGAACACAAGGAAAAGGAGTGTGTGTAGGCCATTCAGCAGTTTGAGTCCATTCTCACTCATGGAGATCATGGCTGGTCGTCTACTTCACCATTTTCCTGCCATGTGCCCGTATCGCTCAGTATTTTTAATTTGTACAAATCTATCGATCTCTGTCTTAAACATACTCAGTGAGCGAGCGCCCACGACCCTCAGTGAATTCCGAAGATTCACCTCCGTTCTAAGTGAAGAACTTCCTCCTCATCACAGTCTGCCCCTTATTCTGAGACGGTCTATCCTGGTTCTGACCCCTGCTCCCCCAGCCCCTACCCCTGTTCCCTCACTAGGGGAAACAACCTGTCTGAACTACCCTCCTCATCCCTGTAAGAACGTTGTGGGTTTGAATGTGATCACCTCTCCTTCTATACTTCAGAGAACAAAGCCCCAGTCTATTTAATCTTACCTCACAGGACAATATCTCTGTTCCAGAGATTACTTTGGTGAACCTTCATTGCACTCCCTCTGGGGCAAGAGCATACTATCTTCAATAAGGAGACCAAAAGTGCACACAGTACTGTTGTGTGGTCTCACCAAGTCAGAACTCACACAGCACCAGGTTACAGTCCAACAGGTTTATTTAAAATCACAAGCTTTCACAGCACTACTCCTTCGTCAGCTTCACTCAGAAAGCTTGTGATTTTAAATAAACCTGTTGGACTATAACCTGGTGGTGTGTAACTTCTGACTTTGTCCACACCAGTATCTCCACATCATGGTCTCAGCAAGGCTCCATATAATTGCAAGAGGCCACCTTAAATGCGATTCTCAAATTGTCTTGTAACAAAGACCAACATACCTTGTTTAATGTGCCTGCAAGTTAATTTTCAGTGACTCATGGACAAGACCACCCAAGCCCTTTTGAAGTTCAACAATTCCCAGATTGCCACTATTTAAGAAATGCTCTATATTTTGGTTTATCCTTCCAAAATGGATAACCTCACATTTCTGCACATTGTATTCCATCGGCCAAATTTTGGCTCACTCACTTAGCCATGCCAAATCTCTTCGCCTCCTCCTTAGGCGTCACATTCCACCTGGTTTTGTGTCATCTGCAAATTTGGAAACATTACACTAAATCCACACCCAAACTAGATGATGAACAGCTGTGGATCTTGATGGTATCTCACTAGTCAAAGCTCAACAACCTGAGACTGACCCACTTTTTCCTACCCTCTGTTTTTCTGTCTGTTAATCAGGTCTCAGTATACTTCCCCACGAATCCTAGTCTGCACTCACTAACAACTACATGATTCATTCTTGAGTTTCTGTTGGAGAAGCTACAGTCAGTGGATCGGATTTTAACCTCTGAGTCAGAAGGTTGTATGTTCATCTCCCATCTACAATATTTTTGTTAACCAGCCTCTTGTGGACCTTATGGACAACCTTCTGTGAACCTAAATATACCACATCCACTGGGTTTCTCTTGTCTATTCTGCATCCTCAAAAAAACAGGCTTTTCAAATGCCATTTTCAGTTCATCTATCTGTGTTGACTCTGCCCAATCCTGCCCTTATTTTCCAAGTGTCCTGTTAATGCATCCTTTTAAAATAGATTCAGGCACTTTCCTACTAACAGATCTGCAGCTCCCCATTTTATTTTTCCTTCCTTAAATAGTGGGGTCACCTCTACTCCTTTCCAATCAGCAGAGTTCCAGAATCTTTTTTTTTATTCATTCACGGGACAAGGGCGTCGCTGGCTAGGCAGCATTTATTGTCCGTCCCAAATTGCCTAGAGGGCAGTTAAGAGCCAACCACATTGCTGTGGGTCTGGAGTCACATGGAGGCCAGACGACAGTTTCCTTCCCTAAAGGACGTTAGTGAACCAGATGGGTTTTTTCCAACAATCAGCAATGGATTCATGGTCATCATTAGACTGTTAATTCCTGATATTTATTGAATTCAAATTCCACCATCTGCCGTGGCATGATTCGAACCCAGGTCCCCAGAACGTTATCTGGGTCTCTGGATTAACAGTCCGGCGATAATACCACTAGGCCATCGCCTCCCCTACTCTGTAGAGTGATGATGACCAATGCATCTATTATTTCTCCAGCCTCCTCAGGGACTTCTGGGAATGAACTTCTACAGAGTCATGTTCATCTTGTACACACATACAACATCAACATGAATTTGTTTCTAATTTGAGATCTAAAATTTGGTCATTAAAGACATGAGGCAGGAACCAGCATTTTCTAACTCTGTGACAGAGGCTGTTTTTGCTTTGCTGTGTTAGGAACGTTTGCAACATGTTCTGATTTAGTTGTTTGTGAAAATAGGAGGATCCTACGCAGTATTGAAGTTTGGAACATCAGGTCTACCATTGATCCTGAGCACACACCATTGAAAACAAAGATTGTGGTGGCTCTGTAGATGACCCATAGGAGACCAACTCTCTCAAATTAGTCAACGGTTGGTTTAAACATTGGGTTTGGAATTAGCGAACCTCCACGTGGTTCATGTCAGGATGTTTAGGGTGGCAAGGTGGCTCAGTGGTTAGCACTGCTGGCTTACAGCGCCAGGGACCCGGGTTCGATTCTACCCTCGGGCAACTGTCTGTGTGGAGTTTGCACGCTCTCCTCGTGTCTGCATGGGTTTGCTCTGGTTTCCTCCCACAGTCCAAAGATGTGCAGGCTAGGTGGATTAGCCATGCTAAATTGCCCGTAGTGTTCAGGGATGTGTTGATTAGGTGGGTTGTAGAGGGATGGGTCTGGGTGGGACGCTCTGAGGGTTGGTGCGTAAATGCAAGACTTTCAAGTCTTTTTAATCACAAGCTCCTTGCTATCAAGATTGGATGGTCAGTTTTTAAACCAGTTGTGGGTTTTATTCTGAAACTATGCTTTTTGGTCCTAAAATATCCCATGAGGGGAGACATTCTCTCAGCATTTACCTTGTCAAGCCCCTTTAAAATTTTGTTTGATTCAGTGAAGTCAACTCTCGTTCGTCAAAGCTCCTTTGGATAGAGTCCCAACCTGTTTAACTTTTGCTCATAAAACAACCCCTCCATACCAGGGATCATCCTAGTGAACCTTCTCTGAACTGCTCCCAGTGAAATACTATCTTTTCTTAAATGTAAGAGGGTGGATACAACGAGCTCCGTGGTTTCCTCAATGAACACCACCAAAACGGTCATTAATTGAGGGTAAAATACTTAGAGATATTATGAGACTAAAGCCTAGTGATTATAAATTCATTGTGGATGAGACAGAGCGTTGCATATTGCAGGAGCTAAATAAAAATGGAAACCGGTCCAGTTTTTGACTGGCCCCAGTTGACAGTTCAGCCTCCATTTAGCTTGTTCGAAGTCACTGACAAATTGGATCTGACCGTATTTCATCTCTCCCTTTATTGATGGGACTGTTTCTCATTGCGCTCCAGGATTGTCCAATCGCTTGGGTGAACACCATGGTGTTTGACTACAAGGACCAGCTGAAGACGGGAGAGACGTGGCTGTACACCTGGCCATCGGTACCCGGTAAGACTTTAATCTGCTCGCTTGCGCAGCAAAGAATAATTCACACTGAGTGCTTCAGTTCCCAACAGAAGGCCAATCTCACCCTGACTTAATCCAAATATCGTAAAATAGCTGGTGACTGACCACTCCCTAGCATTGTGCACCGTCTCTATCTTTCTGCAAAATTCACAGCGAAAGTTATATATAAATAGATACATTTCTAACTATTAAACGATATGGGGATGGTGGAAGATCAGCCATGGTCCAGCTGAATGCAGACTTGAGGGGCTGAATGGCCTCCTCTTGTACTGATTTTCTATCTTTTACCTGTATGCATGGGAAAAACAGGAGGACAGTTGGTTTTAACATGATATCAGGTGATATCAATGCAAGTTAAATGGGCGGAAATTCCATGCCTTTGGTTTAAATGTAGAAAAGCCAGCCCAGACTGTCATTAGTAGCATCTCGCAGACTATTCAGTACAGGGGGGAAAATAATATCATTTTGTTTTAAATGCAAAGCAACAACAAAGGTTTGTGAATATATTAAACTCTTACTCCTCGGCACTCCTTCCTTACTGCACCCAAACCAGGATCATCCAGAGAGAGAGAGGCATTCAGAGAGGATGGTCTGTGCTCCTGGGAGGAAAGGCCTATGTGAAATGGTTAAATGACCTTGCTCTCTCTGACCTGTGAGAGATCCCAGAGAGAGTTAATCAACTCAACTTGAGACCATAAACCTCAAAACAGTTGCTTCAGATGCATCCTGGCAACAGGCCAACAGGGCACGGAGCCAGAGTTTTAAAAGGCAAGTTTAGGACAACCATCAGGAAATATGTTTCACATGGAGTGTGCTCACACAGCTGGGGAAGGTTGGCAGCTGCAGTGATTGAGTCCAGGAAATTAAGCTCTTGAAGAAATGATTCGATGCTATAATAGGCCGATGTTTAAGTTGGCAATCTGGAGAGATCGCCTAAGCCCCCATCTGAGGAGTTTTCATTCAAAAATCTTTTAATTGTAATTCTCGTTCTGTTCTATGTTACTCGTTGTACAAAGTGTGGGTGGGGAAGTGCATCCTCAAAGCTTCGGTTTTGCAAATGGTGTCATGCATGTACTGGTTGGGATTCCTGATCAGTGAAAATCAGAATTCCTTTGCTGCTCCTGCAGCTTAAATTAGTTTAGTGAGTGCTGAGGCTGGATTTCCAGGGTGCTGCAGTCCCCACTTAATCTCTTCACCCCACATTCAGGTTGGAGCAGAAATTTTATAAACAAGCTTTTTAAAAATGTATGTATTCTAAATTTCTAAGAAATGATAAAAAAAAATTAGGCATTTCATTAGCTAGTTTTCCAGGGATGTAGACATTGCTCAGTGGCAATTATGAACTTAGTGCACTGTAAAAAAATCCTTACAAAGTGAGGTGCAACTGAAAAACTGCTTGGTAATCCAAAAATTAGACATTGCTTATTAAATCTCGCACTCAAATTCAAGAAAACCAACATTGGAAGGAAACAGTTTCTTGTGCTGTACGTGGCTGTGAGCAGGGATGTGAGCAGGTGCTATTGGAATGTAGGAGTTGGCAACGAGCATTAGGAAGGAAATTGATGCTTGCTCAGAAAGATCATTGTCAGATTGATGAACAAGCTCTTCCATCGAAGAAATGGCTGCCCTCCAACTAAGAGTATGAGAGAGTAACAGCATTTTATTTCAACAAATGCGGTAGTAGTAACCTTGCGCTTTCTGTCTTTTTCTGCAGATGACAAGGGAGAACTGCTGAACCCCATGGGCACTGTACAGAGCAACCCGAACACCGATAGTTCTGCGGCCCTACATATCAATTTCCACAGTGCCACATCCCACCCTATCTACTACCCATCCTTTGAAAAAGTACGTGCACAGTTAGATCTCAAGGTTTTTCATTCCACAAGAGCAGAAGTAGAAAAAGTAAGGCCTAGGAACAGGCAACAAGAAGGTGCAGCGATCAGGCAATTTGCACTCAGACAAAAGCAAAATACTGCAGATGCTGGAAATCTGAAATGCAGGAGAAAATCTGAAGAAGTGTTGTACCAGACTCGAAACTCTGTTCCTCTCTCCACAGATGCTGCCAAACCTGCTGAGTTTCCCCAGCACTCTCTGTGTTTGTTTCAGGGAGTTTTGCATGCAGCTCTGGACTACTTACTACAGATCAACTAGCAGCTAATCTGCCCATGACCTTGTCTGAAGATTGAAGTGTTTCCAAGAGGGGAAATGGTAGGGAATAAATACAAAATTCAGCAAGAAAACAGACTGACCTGACTAACGGTGTGTGTCTGGTAGCCTCACACCAGTGAAACAATGTTAAAGGAACTCAATTCTAGGTAATTCTACTGTGTCATAAGCTTTGTCCCATTTCTCCCGACTCTCTATCTACAATGCTGGCTCATTTGTGGTCAGTCTCACCAAAAACTCTGTGTTCTTTGGATCGGTTCCTGGGATGAAGAGTCCATCCTATTCAGAGAGGCTGAGTAAATTGGTTCCATGTTAGTTTAGAAGAACGAGAGGTAATCTCAGCGAAACGTGCAGGATTCTGAAGGGATCAACACTGAGAGATTTTCAGTCACTTGGAGACAGCGAGAACCACAGATGCTGGAGTCAGGGTCAGTACAGTGTGGAGCTGGAGGAACACAGCAGGTCAGGCAGCATCAGAAGAGCAGGAAAGTTGACGTTTCGGGTCAGGTTGACTTTCCTGCTCCTCTGATGCTGCCTGACCTGCTGTGTTCCTCCAGCTTCACACTGTATTAACACTGAGAGGTTGTTTCCCAGGGGCTGATTAAGCTAGAACACGGGGACACTGGCTCAGAATCAGAGGCTGACCATTTAGGACAGAAATGAAGAGAAATTTCTTCAGTCAAAGGATTGAGAGTTCTGGGAAATCTGGGATGCACCTTTGTTAAGTATGTTTAAACCTGAGATTGCAAGTTCTGAAGAAGGGTCACTGGATCTGAAACATGGACTCTACTTTCTCTGTCCACAGATGTTGCCAGACCTGCTGAGTTTCTCCAGCAATTTCTGTTTTTGTTTCTGATTTCCAGCATCCACAGTTCTTTGGGTTTTTTTTGCAAGATCTTTAGTTTCACAAAGGATCGAGAGGTATATAGGGGGGTTAGGCAGAAGTTAAACCAAAGATCAGCCATGATTTGACTGGATGCCAGAGCCCATTTGAGGGGGTGTAAGGACCATTCTTGCTTCTATTTCTTGTGTTCTCATGTCACCTAAGTGACCATCTCCAACATGAGAATCTAGGCAGTGAAGATCAACAGGACGTTCAACTGTGAAATGCTTCACAATGGAACCCAACTTTTAAGAGGCTGACATTCTGGCACTTATAGCAGGATCACCCAGAAGAAGCAGTGCTCCTGGCACATGTTACATCTCTGCCCCAGTGTAGACATGTGCCAGGAGGTGTGGCATCTGTGCTTTCTGCCTGAAACCACCAGCATTGGGGTCAAGCAGGCAGTGATCTCTCAGTCTGAGCTATTCACTGTCTTAGCTGCTGGGGGACCATGGGAACCTGTGATGCTTAAACCCACTTAGCAATTTCCACATCCACTGGTGAATATTCACAAACCAGCGATGTAAATTTCCGAAAGCAAAATCATCAAGCACCTATTAATTTCTCTTAACTTTTACTTTTTATGATATAAATTTGATATATCCTTCTTTCCTCCAGATTCTCGAGTTGGGTAAGAATGGAGATCGTGTAAAAGCATCACAGGCTGAGGTAAATACTGCGAAATGTGTACAGACTGTGTTAATGCTATAGTGTACATACCCTGCATGCTATTCCCAAGATTACCCCCGGATTATGCCTACACCATACTCCCTGCTAATAGGTATATTAGGTGTTACTCTGCAAGAGTATGAAGGTAGAGTTATTCTCCACTATCGTAATGTGTTCATTTGTTTGTTATTTGCAAACTGAGTTACTCCCAGACAACCATCTACACTGCCCTCCTATAACACACTGATCATATTTCCTGCCATTGATGGACTGTGTTTCTCACTATAGTAACTGTAACAAGCTGGACCTCATAGAATATGAGCTCCCCGAGTGGGCCTGTTAATTTGATCCAATCAGGGAGCCCTGACTGATAGTTATAAATAGGAGTGTCAAGGGTTCCATTCACTCTGAGAGCTGGCTCTGAGGGAGTTGGATCAGTGTCAAGGTCTTTCCGCGTTTGTAAGTAAAGGGTGATTTGGTGATGGGATATCAGCCTCTGTGGATTATTTCAGTATGTTCTCCCGATAACCTGATCAAGATATCTATGTCATCTGGCCTTTTGATTCATCATTGATGCCACATCCTCAGTTGCTCGGGCCCCAATCTCTGGAATTCCCTCACCACCTCTTTCCAAAACTCTCCCTGTCTTTCTTCCTTTAATGTGCTCATTCAGACCTCCCTTTCTGACCAAGCTTTTGGCTTTCTGCCTGAATATTCCCTGTGCGCTTCAGCACTTAATTTTGCTTAAAACACTCCTGTAAAGTTTGATTGTGCTGAAGATGTTAGAAAAACTGAAAGAACTGTGGATACCGATATTTTCTGAGCTACCATCAGTTCTGAGGAAGGGTCACTGGACCAAAAATGTTAACTCTGATTTCTCTCCACAGGCGTTGCCAGACCTGCTGAGATTTTCTGGCAATTTCTGTTCATGTTTCCGATGACTTGACGTTGCTTTATGTGTGGTTGCTGTTGTGTAAACTGGCCTGTTGCAGTATTGTGGTGTTTGCATTTGGAGTTACTCTCCCACAATGCGTACAGTATAACTCTCCACACTGCCTTGCAATCAGTGTGCTGTAACCTGTTGAGCAGCACAAGGTTTCTTTAACCAAGCTATGCCATTTACCTGCAACTTGACTCGGACATCACTAACCGTTGCTTCTGCCTCTTCCACTCCCATTGTTTTCTGCACTATGCTTTATTCCCTGAGTTTGAGGAGCCTTTTCAAACCACAAGAGATGGGATTAATTCATTTTTAAAAATTTGTTCGTGGGATGTGGACCTCACTGGTGAGGACAACATTTATTGCCCATCCCTGATGACCTGGAGAGCTAATGAAATGATGTGTGATTTAATGCAGTTATTGTAGCTCTCCTCCTTGTTATTCGTGGTGATACCAGCATCTGTACAATGGATTCTTGCAGAAATGTGGGTGACAGGCTTATAAATAAATGAGAGGTATTGCATTTTGGTAGAACAAACCAGGGTACGTCTTATAAAGCTAACTGTAGGGCCTTGGGGAGTGTTGTGGAACAGAGGGACCTAGGGGTGCAGGTACATAATTCTTTGAAGTTTGCATCACATACAAACAGGGTGGTTTAAAAAGGCATTTGGCACGCTCGCCTTCATTGCTCAGATCTTTGAGTACAGGAGTTGGGAAGTCATGTCGAAGTTGTACAGGACATTGGTGAGGCCTCTTCTAGAATACTGTTTTCAGTTCTGGTCACCCAGTTATAGGAAGGATATTATAAAGCTGGAGAGGGTTCGGACGAGATTTACCAGGATGTTGCCAAGTATGGAAGGTTTGAGTTATAAAGAAAGCCTGGATAGGCGGGCACTTTTTTCACTGGAGTGTAGGAGGTTGAGAGGTGACCTGATGGAATTTTATAAAATAGTGAGGGGTATAGATAGAGTTAATGGGAGTTGTCTTTTCCCTAGGATGGGGGATGTCAAGACTAGGGGACATATTTTTAATGTCAGAGGAAAAAGACTTAAAAAAGACACAAGAGGCAATTTTTTTATACAGAGGTTGGTTCGTGTGTGGAATGAACATCCTGAGGAAGTGGTGCATGTGGGTACAATTACAACATTTAAAAACATTTGGATAATTTCATGAATAAGAAAGGTTGGGAGGATATGGGCCAGGAGCAGACAGGTGGGACGAGTTTATTTTGGGATTATGTTTGGCATGGACTGGTTCAACTGTTTCCTTGTTGTATGGCTATATGAGGAGATCTCTGTCCGTGAAAATGTTCACATATTTTGAATCCTACAACACCCCAAGTCAATTAGGCTGCTTGAATTGGAGACTGTGGCACTTGAGAAAGATGTAATGATGGTGTTCTCTGAAACTTGTGCACAGCAACAACAGTTGAAGGAGATTATGGAACGTAAAGCATGCACCGAATTCTTTGAGGATGAGAAGGATCTGGTATGGAAGCTAAGGTATGAAGTGCGTGAGCATTTCCCCGACGCCCTCGCTAAGCTGCTGTCTATAACCAAGTGGAATAAACACGAAGATGTTGCGCAGGTAAGAGACCAGGGTGAGTCCTTAACAGCATGAGGCTTCCTGATTGTGTAGACAGACAGGCTCTGGGCTTGGGGCTAGAATGTACGCAATACCTGTCCATGCGATACACCTGAGAAATGTTGTTGTTATTTTGTTTTATTTTAAAGTTGCTTGGTTTTACTTCGCACCTTTGTGAAAATACTGAACTAGAGGGATTTTGTGCACGTGTTTGATTGTGTGCCATTAATATCACAGACCTGATTCCAAACCGTTACAGCAATGAGATAGATAGACACCAGTTCCTTCCTAGACAAGATGCCAATCCAACATCATCAAAGACCCCTCTCACCCTGGTCATAATCTCTCCCAACCTCTTCTGTCAGGCAGAAGATATAAAAGCTTAAACACATGTACCAACAGGTTCAAGAACAGCATCTTCCCTGCTGTTATTACACTTCTAAATGGACCTCTCAAATTTCAGATTTGATGCTGATCTTGGTGTTTGTGCACCTTCTCTACAGCCGTAATATTGTATTCCTCGCTCTGTTCAATCACCCTGATGTACTTTATATGGTATGATCTGCCTGTGCTGCATACAAAACAAAACTTTTCACTGTACCTAGGTACATGTGACAATAATAAATCAAATCAAATCACATCTTGTTTAAGGGCAACGGCCTGACAGAAATGTTCAAGCCTAATTCCACCATGACTCTCCTATATCACCTGCACATTCTTCTCACTTAGAAACTTGCTGGCTCTGTGTGGTATTTGGGATTTGCTGAGTTGCTTGGAAAATGGTTCCACATGTTGCATTCTGCAGTTGTAGAGCCTTCCCTTCCATCTAGGATGAAAAGCCCAGGGATTCATGGCCCCTTCACCTTCTCTAAATTCAATGCATCACTGTGGAGCTATCTGTCCATTTGTGACTGTAATTCCATCAGGATTGGAACTGATGGGGTTTGATTAATATGAATACAGTGTCCTGGCAGTTATATCAGAAGTCAATCTGGAGATTTGTGAGCCAATTGCAAAATATTCTGCCGTAAAGTCTCCACTTCAAGGAAAGGATCTTAGCTCTTCGTGTCCAGCAGCAGTTTGTCTAAAGTGAGACACTGAAAGCATGTGGTATAACTTGCTGATAAATACTGCCTAATACTGCAAATTAAAAAGGATTGAGAAAAATAGGGTCTTGTCTTCAAAAGGGACTAGTGTTACAATCCTATATGCTCATATTGTGCAGTTACTACCTATTTTAAAAAAGTTCATTCCTGCCAAAAGTCTGCACGGGAAGGAATACAGACCTTGCTAACTAGATATTTTAGATACTTTTGCATCAACCTGATCAGAGATGTTATAATAGGCTTCCAGAGCCAGTGGGACTTGAACTCAGGCCTTCTGGCTCTGAGGCAGGGACAATATCACAGCACCATAAGAACCCAAATTAGATGTTGTACGCTCTCATCTGTTGAAAAGCAATTTATTCCCCCCCAAATGCAATGCATTTATAAAGCAAGTGCAGGCATCTTACTTTCAGGGAATATGTTCAGGTCTGAATCACCGAACAGACAGGAGCCAAAGGCACCTTGCTGCCGGGAATGGGAGCCAGGTCCCCATGTCTAACAGCTGTAGGTGTGACAGACTCTGAGAGAGAACCTCGGGGAACTTATCCTGCAAACAACCAGAGAGCAAGTGGCCCCTAGTGACCAAGAGAACTCATCACCCACCTGCTTCCTGGGAAAGGTGGGGGTGCTGGGGTCCAGATTTCCTCAAAATGGGAATGTCCAACAAGGGTGTATGTCATGGGAAAAGGCCTTTTACCTTCTGGGTTTGTACCCTGTCCTGTTCATTGAGGAGGGTAACACAGCTATCCATGGAGGCTTGGCCACGAGTGGAGACAGTCCTCAATGAGAGCCACCTGGGATTTCATCGACAGATTTAATTCTTCACCCAGGTTCCTGGAAGGAGCAGGTGCAATGTGGCCTCAAACAGGAATCAGTGTTGATACTATGGCACTGTGTCTGATATCCCTACTGGTTTTCAGAACTGGAATTACACTCGATTAGGAAGAGTGATCTCACCTCTTGGGCAGTGGGCCAGCAGTAATATACTTCAGAGATAGTGGGAACTGCAGATGCTGGAGAATCCGAGACAACAAGGTGCAGGCTGGATGAACACAGCAGGCCAAGCAGCATCATAGGAGCAGAGAGGCTGACGTTTCGGGCCTAGACCCTTCATCAGAAAAGGGGGAGGGGAAGGGGGTTCTGAAATAAATAGGGAGAGAGTGGGAGGCGGATAGAAGATGGATAGAGGAGAAGATAGGTGGAGAGGAAACAAACAGGTCGAAGAGGCGGGGATGGAGCCAGTAAAGGTGAGTGTAGGTGGGGAGTTAGGAAGGGGTTAGGTCAGTCCAGGGAGGACGGACAGGTCACTTCAGACCTGTTCTCAGTGAAGGGAAGAAGTCTGACTGATCCACAGATCACTTTTAATTTTTGGAACGAGGTCCATGTCCAGTCACTGCTCGATATGCACTGATTCACTGTTCACAAATCCAACTGCTAGTGAGGTCCATCCCCCGCGCAACCCCCCCACCCCACCACACCTCCCCCCCGCCATCCCTTCTCTTGTTCTCACCAACCTCAGTGGGTGTGAGAATTGAATCCACTGCGTTGGTGTCACTTTGCATCACAAACCAGCCGCCCCAGCCAAAGAACTGCTGGAAATCTGAATCTGAAACAGAAATAACTCGAGAAACTCAGCAGGTGTGGAGAGAGAAACGGAGTCAACATTTAGGGCAGAGTGACACTTTTTCACTACAGTTTGTGCAGACCTGCTGAATTTCTCCAGTAATTTCCGGCTTTGGTCCAGCCAACTGAGCTAACCAACTTTACCTCTTGAGGCCGTTTACTTTCCGATAGACTGAGAGAGTCCTTCAGAGCCTCCTCAGGGGTCTCTCACTCGAATGGAGTGGGTTTTTGTCTGAGGACACGTTGGACAGGTGAGACTTGAAACTGTTGTAGTTAACAACAGTAAGAGACAACATGGTGGAAGCACATAAGATCCAGAGGGGGCTCGGCAGGTTTGGACGTGGAAAGGATGTTTACTCTCGTAGGAGAATGGAGAACTAGAGTTTTCCTGTTTAAAATCATAAGGAGCGTGGAGAAGGGGAATAGGTCTTTTCCCCAGGGTAGGGGAGTCCAAAACTAGAGGGTGTAGGTTTAAGGTGAGAGGGGAAAGATTTAAAGGGGACCTAAGGGGCAACTTTTTCACGCAGAGGGTGGTGTATGTGTGGAATGAGCTGCCAGAGGAAGTGGTGGAGGCTGGTACCATTACAACATTTAAAAGGCATTTGGATGGGTACATGAATAGGAAGGGTTTAGAGGGATATGGGTCAAATGCTGGCAAATGGGACTTTAGATTTATATAGGATATCTGGTTGGCATAGATGGGTTGGACCGAAGGGTCTGTTTCTGTGCTGTACATCTCTATTACTCTATGACTCTTAAAAATCAGGGTTCGCCCATTAAGAATAGAGATGAGGAAACATTTTTTTCCTCAGAGGTTTTGAACTCTTGTCCTGAAAAGGCAGTAGAAGCAGATTCCTGGAATATTTTTAATGAGGTGGATAGAGTCTTGTTAAGCAAAGGGGGTAAGAAGTTAATGGAATAGGGCGGGAATGTGGTGTTGAGTTTACAGTCAGATCAGTCGTGATCTTATTGAGTGTGGGAGCAGCCAATGGCCAGATTTGTGTTCCTTTGTAAAGTAGCATTCCCTACCTCTGGAAACCTCCAGTGATTAAGTGGAATTGAAATGGCACTTGGTGGCATGAGACCATTCATTGTGAATGCCAGACTGCTGGAGATACCTGCAGAGTTAGAGCCCCAGGCTGTGAACGTTCGAGTAAAATGTGATCCAGAATATACTAAAATAAGCTGCAAAACTCTGAGGTGGGGGAGGATAAACATTTCACATCCTGGCTGAGGTACAAATCAGTTTCAAGAAAAGGACCAGTTATTTGCTGATATTTTCATTTCTAACCATCCCAGGCATAATGTTCTCCCGGTCATGAGTTATTGGCAGGTGCTTCCTTGCTGCTCGCATAATAATGTGGATGATGCACTTGGCTGTTTTCCCAGAATGTGCTTGATTGATTGTTTGAGATTTTAGAATTTCTCCCCTCTACAGTTATTGCCTGGTGGTGTGTTAACTTGCGTTTTGCTGGATAAATTGAACAGTGAGGAGATAACTGGGGTGCCGATATCAGAGGCCCAGACTTTTAGCTTGCAGGTAGCATCTTCACCCCTGAGTGAGAGGTACAGGCAGAGAATTTCTGAGCCGGGAGGTTGGAGTCTGATAAAACAATCTCCAGCCCAAAGCTGGAGTCACGCAAAAGGGTCTGCATCGTTGGATGATGTTAGTTCGAAGGAAAGATTGGGGAACTTGGGGTTGTTTCCAGTGCCATGGAAAGCTGCGTTCTGCGAATCTTTCTCACCACTGCATGGACCTTGAAGATCCGTGCGTGGCAACACCTTCTGAAACCACAAATCCATGTGTTGCCACACTGAGTGGTGCTTACAGAACCTCTGGATGGCTGTGCCACTGTGTAACATAGGAACGTAAGAAATAGGAGCAGGAGTGGGTCATCTGGGCCCTCAAATCTGTTCCGCTATTCAATAAGATTGTGGCTGATCAGTTCCACTTACCCACCTGCTCACCTTAATTCCCTTACTGTTCAAAAATATATCTCTCTTTGCCTTAAAAACATTCAACGAGGTAGCCTCAACTGCTTCACTGGGCAGGGAATTCCACAGATTCACAACCCTTTGGATGAACAAGTTCCTCTTCAACTCAGTCCTAAATCTGTTCCCCCTTTGGGTGGCTTGGTGGCTCAGTGGTTAGCACTGCTGCCTCACAGCACCAGGGACCCGGGTTTGAATCCAGCCTCGGGCAACTGCCAGTGTGGCGTTTGCACATTCTCCCCGTGTCTGCATGGGTTTCCTCCCACAGTCTAAAGATGTGCG